GAAAATATAACAACCAATTACAAAACGGAAACATTTATCAATTGCAAAAAGTGGTCTAAATTATCGAAAAGAACCGCGGGGAAAGACACTTCGAAATTTGGAAAAATAAACCTTTCTATAAAATGTTTTACCAGGGAACGAATGCTTGTAAACCACGCAAGATCCTATTAAGTAAACTTAGAAAGATGTTCTCACATGAATACTATTCAATAGGCCCTTTGTTTCTTCAAGTGGCATTCACAAAAACTATGGGTCATTGATTTAGACACTTGAATTTTAAGAGTCAGATTACACGTTTCAACCCCGCTTCACCCTGCTTAGGTTTGGTCAGCCACGTAGTGTTATGATTAGCCTTCTCATACAACAAATGCGGCTCAACGCCTACTGCACCAGTATGCACCAGGTTACTGTGTGAAACGTATCTCATTTCACTTGTTTGTTACCGAAGGTTAGCTCATAAGAACGATAAGAATAGTTTGGTATAGGATAGACTCAAAAATAAGCATCAGTGACTTCTCCAGTTTAGTGAGAATCTGCGATAAGTTTTGTTTACCACCAGCAAATTGAGAGCAGTCCTTAGCTTTTATGCGTGAACACCAAGTCATCTAAGTTTAAGATGGATATCTTGAAATAGTTTATTGACCATTAAGAAAGTATTCCATGAATGAGGAAGGTGTTCTCCGATAAGATAACTACAGTACATGAAGTCAACGATTATTCACTAAACTTTATCAAAAAGTGTTTATCAGCAAGACAGAAGACACTGTAATCAACGGACATGTCACTTTACCCTACATCAAAGATGTCTCAGAAATTGTAAGTCGATTGCTTCATTCGATCGGGATCGGAGGAGCCTACGAACCAGTGAAGATACAACACAGCATGTTCTGTAAACTAGAAGATCTATTGCCAAATGAAGGCAGGATGAGTAAAGTCAATTGCAAAAACTGCTCAGAGAATTATGGTGGCCAGGATAGTCGACGGATTAACCAGTTAGGCGACCTGATACAACTTCTATGGAAATTTTCTTAAGAAGAAAGTTAGTCAAACGACTTAACGAGAGAACAGCTATCTATCAGCCAAGGTCAAATTGACTTTAAAAAAAGAATAATGCTATACAGAGTGACAATACCAAACAGCACAATTTTATTACAACAAAAAATTCTTTATCAGCATGACTGGATGAAATTCAAGGTCCCAGCGGTCAACGTAGACGAAAGTCTCTTCCTCAACTTATAATTAAATAATTCTCAAGGTCAACGAAAAGGCTATCTAAACAGCCGTCTGACAATGGAGTAGGCTTCTCTTTTTGTGAAGTTAGCACTTAGAATGTTATCAAGCCTGGTGTTGAAATGTCCACGGTAAAATATTAAAACTAAGAAGAACATCAGACTTCTATCCAGGTGTTTTGTAAGTAGGAGAGTACAATTGATTGTTTTTATGTCCGTCGTAACCTTTACATGCACTGCTGGTTTCCCATAATAACAAATTTGTATATAGCGGGTTGATGAGAGAAAGACAGGTCAGGAATGTAGATGAGTTCACCGATCTTGAAATTTATCATGTATCTTAATCTTCCTCTGATATTTGAAATCCTCTGCGCATCTGTCTACCCCCTTGTGTTCCGAATTTTAAGCTGACCTAAGCACTCATACTGTAGCAGGTGAATAAGAGATGTACAAGGCATGACTTACCAAAGAGGTGGGTTGCAACTAAAGACTAGAGTGATCTTTCCTAGTTGAAATGATCAGGTGTCGATAAAATCGATGCGAACGTTTCGCTACAAGTTACATAATATAAACTTCAAGAATTTCTGAAGAGAGTCTCTTGTCGGTGAGATATAGTCTCCTTATGATTATATTCGTGAGGAAATTTGAATAGTAACCTTCAAATTCCATAGTTGTTGGTTGGTCGGTTCCTCAGAAAAGGGAAAACGCTGTAAAATAACGCAGAGCACATTGTAGTATCGAAATATATACAAATATATAAGGTTTATATGTATTTACAATGGCCTTTACTATTTTTAGGCCTTTCTATTAGGATATTCCTTATTAGTTCCACCTCTCCTCGAAACTTCGAGGCATACTGCTCCGTTGTGAAAGGTAGGAGGGATTTGAAACAAAAAGAAATCAGTACTGTAAACAGTTGTAAAGTGAATTCCTGACACACTGGGCGTTATCTTTAATATAAAAGTTAAGAGGTTGTTTTTCGAAGTATAAGATGGTAAGACTTGGGTGGTTTAGAACATCCTTACTTTTTCTGTATATAGTTTCATGAGTGTTTCGTTAGAAAAAACTACGAAATTGAAACCAGATCATTATTCTTATTCCACAATTCTAGAAACACGCTTCAGTGGATATGTTGACAATCCGTCTAGCAGGACCTAAGAAAGACCAAACTTGGACTAAGTTCCTCTACAGACCTGAAGCATCGATTATAGGAATAATGGGTTAAGCAGTTTCCTTTTTCGCCTCTGCTTATGCAGCGATCCCATATTTATAAGAAAGGAAACTACTTTTAAGAGATTCGCCTTTTTAAACGACAGTTCATGACCGGAGAACAAAAAATAAGTTGGCTAATGCAATGCCAAAGGAGGTCAATGGTTTGATTCCTTCCACCACCCAGATTTTTATTCTATCTTCAATCATCGCCCAGTTCTAACATAAGAAGCTGTCCACCTCCTTTCTGACAAGTATCCATAAGAGGAAATTTGCAATATTATGTAATATAAGCATCTTCCGACTATATATTTTTGCTTGTTGGAAGCAACGAAAGCAAATAAAGTCTGTTATTATAGACTTGTACCTTTCGGTAACGTTATTAGAATACGAAGATTATCTAAAAAATGTGATATGTTTGCGCAACACATTTCAAACAGTCTGATTCCCCACGCAATTATTTGTCAAGTCAACTTATACCTGAAAATGAAAGGTAAAACATTGTGAGTATGAAAAGTATACGTGTAACAATAGTCTAGAGTTTGAGACAATTAGTTCCTTTTATGAATTTGGATAATGTAATTGGAAGACATAGATTATCCAGAGCTTTTGTTCAACCCAATACAAGCGAGGTTTGGTAACTTGTCTATTTAAAACGATCCAGGGTATTTGTACGGAAGACTCAATGGATGATGATATCAAAGTACTAACGAGAACATTAGTGGAAAATGGATATCCATTGAAGTTCATAAACTGCTGCAAAAATCAGCAAGGATTCAGACCTAATCTGTACTCTGTTTCAAAGAAATGAGTTCGGGTCACGTTACCATACATAATAATTAAACGAAAGTTAAGGTCTGCTGTTAGCAAAACACACTATGCAGCTAAGTTTATCTTAGTTGAGAAGACCAAACACCTGCTGCTACCTAGACCTCAACGCTGTATAAACGATTGCGTCACATTCCACTGCGTTTATAAATTTACATGTGTGTGGACAAACATAGGGAGGACAAATCGTGATATGAACTTGGGGGTAGGGGAACATGTTTCAAAATGGTTATGAAAGTAGCTGGATTCACAAAATTGATAATTGCAGATGGCAGACAACCATCATCTATTGCAAAACATATCATTGATAAGAGTCACAGGACTGATATTAAAACAGCCTTTACAATTTTGTACAGAAACTGTCAGGAGCATATACTTAAGTTTGTTGAGGCGCTAGCCATAAATAAATTTAATCCCCCATTGTGTGTACAAAAACAGTTTGTCCTTATATTAAGCCTACCTTGGTAATGCTTATTTTATCGTATTACCAAGATTGTCTTCAAGTCTTATCTTTTCTGTTTCCCCTCTCATTATCTTTCTTATTATTAAATTCCTTTATATTTTTTGAGGGGGTTGTGGAGATTTGGAAATATTTCAAGTTGTTATTCATCGAAGACTGACATCAGTTGGAGGAACAAAGGAAAACTAGGACGAAACAGCTGTCCAGTGCTCCCAGGTTTCCTTTGTTCCTCCAACTGATGTCAGTCTTCGATGAATAACAACTTGAAATTCCTTTATGTCATATTTGTCCTTCCCCCACTTCCAGTTTTCATATACAATGCCTTAACAAGTAAATGTGTGGTCAGATTGTTCGAAATGTATAGCGCTAATACATTACATTTTTCAGATAATCTACGTCTACTAATTACACTATTGAAATAGTTTAGAGAAAATAATCGGATAGGGATTACCTAGATAAATGGAGTAAAAAAACAAATTGTTTTTGCACACACAAGTATTGGGGGTGGTGGCTTCAGTTAACGATTGTTTAACGCTTTGGCGAATTTCAGTATGCGCCCTTGACTGTTCCTACATAATATGTTGGATGGTGTTTTCGTACTCACCTTATGATTCATTTCGATGATACATTTTGCTATAGATGAAGATGGATGTCTGTCACCTGCAGTTATCAAAATTTGTGTGCTGAACTGTTTTTCAAGCCATTTGCGTATATGTTCACTCACCCTAGTCTGCACTGCACCATTACTCTTCCCTGTGTATGACCACACACGTGAACTGGTAAACACAGAGGAATGTGGCATCATCAATCATTTATGCGAGATTTAGGTTTGTGGTGAAGCAGGTGTTTTGTTGTTTCAACAATGACAGGCTGAGCTGTAAAGTATGTACGGATAGCAGATTTTAAAAACTCAATATCATACTCCTCGTTTTCCCTCTATACGGTACCTTAAAAAATGTATCCTTCTTCGGGATCGAGGAAATTATAGGCTTTAGGATTAGCTGATTTCTACAAAGGTTCACAAACTGTATTGAATATCGGTTTTCTATAAGTGTGTCTTTCAGAAATTTCCTCTCATCATCCATTGTATCAAATGTACAAACACTTTGGATCCTACTGAATAAGCATCTTACTAAGCCTCTCTTATATTTCATTGATAATCTTCGTCTTCTAGTAACGTTATTGAAGTTTATTAAAGGGACTAGTTGTTTTAAATAGTAACTTTTATTGAAATAATACAATAAGTTTATATTAGAAATTAAGTAGTCACTCACTGAATTCCAAACACCGCATGTCGGTGAATACCTGTATTTACTCAACGCAGGATTTCTATGACCTAACGGTGATAATGATGGTGAATTATTTTCAGATCTTGTGGTACGGTTAAATTTTGATGAATGCTTCCAAAAGCGTTGGAAAAATTGATGTTTCAACTTCACAGACAAACTTTTTTCGGGTGATCGAATGTGTTTATTTGAATCATTTATTGAACACGAAGGCGCATCATTTTGATATGTTGTGGAATAATCTGATGATTCAGTGAAATTCATGGAATCTGGAATAAAGTAAACAAAAAGGGTGTATTTATCATGAATGAATTGTTTTTATTCGGGTTATGAAATCTTCTAAGGATTGATTTCAACATTGAACGCTGATTAAAATCTTTGAGGTGGTTGCAAAACTGTATGTCTATGTTAACGATACCGTAACGCTTAATGCATAAAAATGTCTACAGAGGTCAAAGCAAGTCAGTTGATTCTCTCAGGGAGCATCAGTTTTCTTAGGGTTGAAGATATGCTCGTCTGATGAGTGCTTACAAGTACGAAACCAAGATGTCTCCAAAAATCTACATCATATAATTCATTATGTGCGATAGTTTGCATCCCACTCTAAATGTTGAATACTTCAATACTATTCAGAGATTTTGGATTTTACACCTCATCAATAGTCATAATTTTCAATCTAATTATTTTTATACCAGTATCAATAAACTGTAAAGTTTTCGTATTTTTTTCCAGCCTGTCACCATTTATGCATAAAGTGGAATGATATTTATTCAATAAATAATAATGAAATCGAGAATTATTTCACAGAAAATAGCATCAAATTTTGGTAGTATGTTCAATTATTTATAGTTCACTACAAACAAAGATATTAATTATTAATAAATCTGAACAAAATATGTATATCGTATTCCACTTTCCGTTTGCATAAAGATTTTATTGTCGGATTTGTAGAATAATTCTCATAGATGTACAGATAAATCCCTTTCGAATAGGAGTCAGTCATTTCAAATATCAGATTTAGTGAATAGTTATTATTGAACAGAAACACTGAAATTTTCAGTATTGAAAAATGCAGTTTTGGTGCTCAGTAAATGGTTTGCTTAAGGCTCAAGTATTTCAATAAAATTGACTACATTTTCCGTTCCTTTAAGTCATTTCATGATAGAGTCATATTTTGAACACCTTCATGACAAGATGAGGATCACACATATGTTATTGCTGGTAATTTCCTTTCGTTGACTGGATCGAACTGATTACCCACTATAGGCATAAAGACTCGTGCATGGCAGCTGCAATTTTGCCGATAATTTCAGTTTGATAATATTTATGGAGAGTGGCTTACATTGGAATCCATGATAAGCTGGATGTATCTAGCTTCTCTTGACTGAACTCTTGGATTCGACATCAGTGCCCATAGTTTCGAAAGTGATGGCGTTATCTATTCGTTTACTAAGTGACGATAGCAATATCGAAGCCTCTGCGTAGAATTTCACTTGTCATTAGTAGCTGATCAATTTGATCTAATCATTGATACTAAAGTACAAGACTGAAGTTGTACTCGTCGCATAAGGAGTGGGTGCCGTTACTCAGTAACTAGGTAAACAACACTCTTCCCTTTGGTGGGATGAGCTACTAGTTTGATTCTTGATGAGAACACCATCACTCATTCGGGTGACGGTACATACAGCTGATGAGTCAAAAATAGGACAATACACGCAGCATTAGTTCTACTGCTATCCACTATCAGTCAAAAATATCTTAATTTGATGTGAACACTTTCAGTTTTGATAGAAAGTAAATACAATTTAACAAATCAACTAATTATGTTTATGATAGACCGTGGCTAGCAGTGAAATCCAGGATGCGCATTTCGTCCTATTTGGGACTCGTTAGCTGAATGTATCACATATTCATGTTATGTTTAACAATAGATGGTCAGTCACAGTTATTTCGATTCTAACATTGACAAACATTTTATAGGTTACAACAAATTATTCAAACAACTTTAGACTGAACCGTCTGTTACCGCTAAGCACAGAAACATATGAAAAGAGAGTACAGTAAGGATGTCAAATGAAACATGTTGAAAGGAAAAAAAATGAAGGAAAAGTTGTTTATTTTTTCCAGCCAATTCATATATATTCCTTATATTCCTTATGTACTCTCAATAGAAATAGGGATTTTCATGTGTTATGAACTGACACATAGTCACTTGGATTCGAGGATTCCTATTTCCAAGTTGGTAGTCATCATGAACTGACATCAGTCGGAGGAAGGTTGGAAACCTGAGAGCACAAGACAGTTGTTTCATGTATATATATATATATATATATAAAGGATATCTCAAAGTTGTTTAGTTATCTTGATTTGACTATAGACAATAAAGTATGTCTGAAACGTAATCTAGTAAACAACACTGTTACGCTGTGCTATAAATCTAATAAATCAATAAAAATGGAATTACATTCTACCAAAGTGCACAAGTTTTACTCTTATGTTAGAGATAAGTATGCTTGTAAAGTTTTGTACAAAAATGATTTCCAATACACAACTTATTCGATTCTATTGGGTCAAAATGAGCACGACAGTTGATCAAATCAAGAAATTTCAGGCTTAATTATAGATATTCACCTTCAAAAGGTTCAGAGTATAGTTCAGCTAGAGCACATTTGACTGTCGTGCTTGTAAGCATAGATTCATGTGTTCATCATCATCATCATCATCATCATCATCATCATCATCACCATTGAATCACTGATTACTTCTGTGTCATCGACTGAACAGGACAGTGTAAAAGTAATTCACTCCTGTTGTATAGTATACTCATCAATAGGTATGCTTAATTACTATATGAATATTTGACTGTTGCACAACAATTTGAGTTCACCGTGTCTAACAGATGTATGCCAAAACTCCACATATTTAGATGTTCACAGTTTAAGGCAACGTTCTGACTGAACTAAAACTTAATTGATAAAATAACCATCTTTTCCGTATGAGATAGAATAAGCCAAATTTGAATTTACTCTTCACAATAAGCGTTTGTCTGTTGAAACGGGTAGTGAAAATTTACTAATGCTCAGCTCCCAGTTCCAAGCATAATCTAATCTGCTTGTACATCATTATTCAAAACATGAGGGACTGGTTTTCTCAATGAGCATGAAGCATCATTGCAACGCATCTAAATAGAAACTCTGTTAACGCTATATCAAAACTGATTAGTGTAGTCTAGGAGCCTTGCCTGTTGTTGAGTTTCAGAGCATCCACGTTCACTTGATAATGGGATCACTTGCCTGTAGTCACTTCCCTCTTGGGTGGACGCGCTTAGGATGCACGTCATTGAGTTTTCATTCATCTTGCGGATGAGACGAAGCTCATCTTCTCGTGAAACTATCGCACTCTCACCAAAATTTCACATACAAGAGATCCTCTCGGGCTACTAATATGGCCACAACTAGGGCGAACGGCACCCTGCATTCAGGATCGATGACCACCTACCAAACTCACTTCTTTAGGGACTACTATAATTAAGAAGCTCGGTTCCTTTAACTTTTGGTCACTTTTCTCCTAAAGCACTGAGGGGAATCCTGACAGTTAGATAAACCATTTGCACCTAACTAAGCCAGAACTTTAATCACCAGTACATGTACCATCATCAGTTTTCGTGGATAACAGGGAAAACACCAATACCACTTAACCATACCGCATACAGTCTCTTCATATTAACGCGGAGGCATGTACCTACCTGAAGAAAGCCGTAGTTACTGCTCTTGCGGCTACTACTACTGTGTTAACAAGTAAACATCATTGCGAGGAATGAGAAGGATGAGAAAACAACGTAACGCTGTTGGGAAAGGTTAGATATGCATGCAGCATATGGGTAGTTTTCTTGAATGAATCCCCATTAAGAACCAGAGAATACGGTTGCTTCATTTACATACCACAATAATCAGAGAGCAAGTATAGTCGGTAGTCTGTTAGACTGAAGTGTATGACAGACTGATAGCAGAAATGATTTCTCTGTTGACCAATTTGTGTGTCACAATTTTCAATTTATGAGTTCGTTAGATGCCAAACAAGTTACTTAGCAACTTACAACATCTGATTCGTATTCAGTGATTACATCACTGACTTTAATGAAATCTGGTAACTGATAGCCTAGATATCAGTATAGTGGCATAGTGGGTGACGCCTTGGCACTTGAGGCGATGGGTACGTGGTCTGAGTCACGATGGGGACAATATCACTCACTGGGGTGCAAGTACATGTAGCTGACGAGTCCTGAATGGGACTAAACGAGCGTACTAGATTTCTCTGCAAGCCACAACCGACCAAATCACAATAGAAAAGTACCTTAGGCAAGATATCATCTCATCTTTCGTATGTACTCTGTTCAGGCTTCATGTTTGTTTATTTATCTGCTTTCTACGGTTTCTGTTTAGTCTTATATGGAAATCTGTGAAGGGTGAAATTTTTGTTCATCAACAATTTCATTTATACCCTTTAGAAACTGTTTTAGTTATTAGGCCTTAAATACTGACTGATTGTCAAAATTAGCTTTAAGTGAGACTAAACAAAGAATAAACGCTTATCATAATATGGTCGCCTGAAAATTTGGGCCGTGACAGGATTCGTACCACTGACCACCTAGATGGACTTCCACCGATGCACAGATTTCCATTTCAGTCACCTTCAGTCATCTAGCAGTATCAATACTGCTACTTGCCAAACCATGGTAATCTTAGATAAGCAAACTGATATGGACATGTGGGCATTATAACAAGTTTACAAACCAGAGCGTTGGCGTTGGTAGAAAAGTAATGCACTATTATTCACTAGATATCCTGAGAAAACTATCGCACTTTGAAGGATCTCTTGACTTGAAGATACCTCAACTTACAAATTCACTCAGAGGCAGCTTAAAGATTGTGTTGACCATTGAAATATTATAATTTCATTTATTGAACACCATGCAATGACTTCTAGGTCAAGAATTTAGTTCACACTGAGTGATCGGGGTCGGCCAATCTATCAGAACATAGGCAATCTATCTATGACCAGACTGAAAGACCTTATTAAGTTGAGTAATCTATAGAAGAATTCAGATAGAGTAATGCATGTGACAGGGTGGAACAGTCGTAAAAGCTAATATTGTTAAGTAAAGAGTGAGACTTTGTTCATTGATTCAACACTTAACACAGGGAACAGGTACGATTTAAAAGTCAATTCCATGATTTTCTATGAAAATCAAAATATTTAAATCACATGACTTTTTTGTTCGATACCACACTTGGTGTTGAGATTATGAGCATGAAGCTGTACATAATGAGCTACTGAGTAATATGAGAAGTTGTAGACAGCTGACATCGATTAGTGGATGTAAACAACGGACAACCGTTTCCCTAGTTTGAAGTCAAGCTCATTAGCTGTGTAACCAGGTTGATTGAGCCCAGAGAATCTGCTTATCTGGACTATCCCGATTCCGGATAGCTATCTGATGTGATTATGTTATATAACTTGAGCCCAAAAAGTCACCTAGTAACTAATACTGTTGCCCTGTGTTCTATATCAAGTAGACTCCATCGCAGTGCCCATTTTCCATTCCTACATAAGTGGATAACTTTTAATCAGAAGTATTACACAGTGCAGTATACAGTGAATTTTTACATCAAACTGTGTTTGAATACTCTCGAAAATGTGACCGTTAATCTATCAGGAGGAGAATAAATCTTGTGATTCCAATTGGGTGAGGAAGGAACGGTGAATATCATAGAATTTGTTGACTGGGTCAGAGCTCGTTGCAGAGTACTTTAATTGGTTGTCTGACCACCGAAAATGTCTACTTCCTCGTTATCACATACACAATGAAATGGTTTAATCACTTGCTTAAAAAGAATATTGCCTCGCTGCTTGTCTTTATTGAGTAAACACAACACAGTAAACAATCCGCATCAAATCTGATGGTTCATATGTTATAATTGAAAACTACATTACTTGAGGGTGGAGTTGTTTTCTCCCCCATTCTTCTCCCTGGCCTCTTGAGTTTTAACGACTGGAAATAACTCCTCAGCCAAGCTTATCTTGTGCTTTACATATTATCCAGTTCGGTAACTACAATCATACACCAAACAGATTGTTCTCACTTCCCTCCTGTAATATGTTCGCACAACTGACGTTCACGCTCGAAATGTTCCCAAAGTATTGGTACTTAGGTCACAAGGTGTTCTCGAATAACTGACAATGTGACGTATAGACTTTACGATATGGCAAGAAATAATCGGAGCAATTTATATTCTGCCCTTAATGGATTGCAACTAAAGCAAATAAATATATTTCTTAAATGCTTATTTATCTCAGGTAATTAGTCCTCTGAATAAATTTTGACATCATTATCAAGAGATGAAGATTATACTTTGCTTGACAAGTTCTCTTGTGATCAGACTGTTCGAAATGTACAGTCCCGTTACATCATGCATAATTCAGATAATCTTACTCTTCTCATTACAACTGTTCAATCTGTTTGCTTTCCAAGTGGTCCTTAGAAACTCCAACTATAATTCGAAAGCCATTTAAGTGAACAAATAGTATTCTTTTCGATAACTTCTCTTTCTTCTTCAACCGTAGTGTGATTTCACCTAACAGTTTATTAGTTATACTAATGATGGATGGTGACTAGTAGTGTGATCCAGGATACTCATTTAGTCCTATTTGGGACACGTCAGCTGGATGTACCTGCTTCCCGGTGAGTTTTCATCTCACTTTCAATCATAACTCAATATAAAATACTAGTCTGCTAAACTATAGCTATCTCAAATGATAAAATGATAAAATAATAGAAAATGAATTAATCATATCAACCATACGTTTCGTTTAAACTTAGCGGTTTAATCTAAACCTTTTAATTACCTTTAACACACCTTTGGATACTTGTGATGAGATTTGCAATTTAGCACTGAAACACAATTTTACAAAATAACATGCAAATTACTAACGGAGATTAGCGCTTATGGCTAGAACTTCGAAATAGTACTTACAACTTCTTTAACATTAGTAAAACTTGCGAAAGTTTTAAAACACTAAAGTATCTTGATTTCATAAGTGTTGATAAATGCTTCCAATGAAATCAAATTTCTACAAGATAACTTCTGTTCATGCAAACATAAAATGATTACAGAATGCATAACTATTTGCTTACAACATATTTCTGTCTACAAAAACAGTTCTAGAGTCCAATCAACATTGTAAACATTTTCGACTTAGATAGTAATGTACCTTTCGCTTGCAGAATGTAACAATTAAAAATGGTATCATCTAGCTAGCAATGCTCAAAACACACTCAACTATTTCCTTGCTTGAATAAGATTCTCAATCAAATCATATTTTAGTCCATTTCATCTACATACGGATTCGTTAGCCATAAGTCATGATTTATTTGTCTTATAATAAGACGTCATCGGGAAGAATGATGCGTATCAAACCTTTAAGCGTAAACATCAGGTTCCATTTGATCGAATCCTTTCTTAATAGGACAAAGGGTCTAAGTGTTTTACGCCGCATTCAATAATGAACATCTTTTGATGCACCGTATCAAAAATAAATCAAAGAAACCAAACTTGATTGTAAAAGCGCCTGAATTTCTCAACCTATGTATAACATATTACGAAATGAACTCCATTGATATCAGAGTCTGGGAGAAGCCAAATCAGTGAAAAGGGTAGACAATACCTTGATCGTCTTGACTGTATTGTCTTCTCTGAGTTGGGTTGTTTAATCGTAAGGCTTCCATCGTCTTGCTAGACAGAAACATAATCACCACTAACTTCACCGTGAGGTGAGCTATCAATATCTCTCCGTGAGCGATTCAGTAGCTCGCCCTGACAAACTGGTTCCTGATTGGTTGTTTCCTTTGATTGTTATGTCATTGACTGTATAGATTTTCCTGTTGACTGTTCCTCTGCTTGACTTCTGACCTTTCTATCGTTTATCATTAATCTCATTGATTGATAGATTGGATCTATGTTTATACATCTATTGGTTGCTAACTGATTGATCTGAATGCCAAGCTTCTAGGAATTTTCGAACATTCTTTGTGTTTCCTCTGTCCAAAAGGATGCAATAAGCAAAGAAGACAAACCGAATATCATTTACGAAATAAACACATTGAACAAAGTAGTCGCCCTCTTCGTCTTCGTCCACATGAACACAAATTGGCTATTAAACGCCATTTTGTCACTCATTTTTTCAATGCATGTGGATAACAACAATGGACATGAATTCAATTTTGACAATGTAGAAATTTCGGACAGAAAGACGAAACAGAAAAAATATCAGAGAATTCCTAGAAGCTTGATTGTCAGGTCAGTTAGTTAGCAATCAATAGATGTATAAACATAGATCCAATCTATCAATCAATGAGATTAATGATAAACGATAGAAAGGTCAGAAGTCAAGCAGAGGAACAGTCAACAGGAAAATCTATACAGTCAATGACATAACAATCAAAGGAAACAACCAATCAGGAACCAGTTTGTCAGGGCGAGCTACTGAATCGCTCACGGAGAGATATTGATAGCTCACCTCACGGTGAAGTTAGTGGTGATTATGTTTCTGTCTAGCAAGACGATGAAAGCTTCTCCATTAGACAACCCAGCTCAGCGAACGCAGTGGAACCAAGACCATCCACCTGAGTGGACGCGGTTTTCTTCACAGTTGTAGATATTACAAAACTCATGTTAGTCTTGACTTTCTCGCGAAATACTCTCATTATCCAACACAAAAATAAATGAGAAATACTATGAAACATTTTACCAGCCAATATCACAGAATAATACTCTTGGTATTCCATCCAGTTAGTGGGATTTTTTCAACTAGATGTTGAAATTAGGAGTGAGTACACTTGAATAAACTCCTAACTGCAGAAAGTATTTAAAAATGATTCATATCTGCTCTTCATTGCAACGGTACTTCTCCTTCTATGTTTTGCTTCAGTCTAATTACGTGGTGATCAGGTGATCCTAGGAGTTATGATGACTAGATAAGGCTTTCCCGGAGAAAAAGGCAGGTACATATTTGGTATTAAAGTTTTTAGGGAAAGCCGACACTACTGAAGAATACGCAAAACACACTGATTGGTTCACATTCGTGGAGTAAATAATGAGCCAGTCCTGTGGTATGAAGCTTAATGATACTAGCCGGTTGCCCTGACCCTGGTTCGAACTCAAGACCTACCGAGTGAGGGTCGACTTCTTACACCAATGAGCCATGGCTCTGAGATAACCGTTAGATAACATCAATAGAGTATATTTACTTTACAGGTTGTGATAGAGTTCTGATAAACATATAGATGAAACCACAGCATACTTTCTTGTGTGAACGCTAAGGAGTTTGAAGCGATCGGTTCCTAGTCAGAATCCCGATGGAAAAAACACTCACTGGAAGGCAGGTACATCCATCTGACGAGAATCAAACAGGACGAACCGTGCGTCCTGAATTCCACTGCTAGCCACTATCCATCATTATTATAATTAAAACACAGGTAATACCGAGGCATCCACGCAGGTGTCCACATGCCAATTGAGACCAATCAATTTGGTCCAATCAACGACGGGATATTACGAGCAATAACATTAAGGGTTATATAAGTTTTCTGTTCGAAAATTGGAAGCGTTCATCATTAATAGGCCAATATTTATTTGATTTTCCAAATACTAATTTGCTTTTATTATGTTTTATGTAAAAAGAAATGCAATTCTCATATTCACTAAAAGAAGTAACCTTTCCTGCAATAGCCTACTTTTCCCGCTATCACTTGATAAACTGAGTGGCTGATGAGAGAGAGAAAAGAACAAAGGAATTCAATTCAATGGCTCTTGTTTTTTAGGAGACATGGTTGAAAACGTATAAGCTTGTAGTTTCAAAATTAATAGCATCACTCACTGGGATGTGGGTATAAATGACTGACGAGTCCTAACTAGGAAGGAACATGTAGTCTAGGTCCAATTGTCAGACAACATCAAGTAAGTTATAAGAAAATACCAACTCTCTTATCTATCTTTCCATATAGTATTCACCAGATTTTTCACAGTTAGATGTATTTATTCACTGAGGAAATTCTTGAGTGAATTATTTTCAAAAGTGAAGTCCGTTTTGTTAACGGAGGAAGGACTAAAAAATAATTTAATTTTCAGTAAATAATGGTTATTCTAATCAAAGTAGGTGGTTGACTTACTTTGAGATTTTCTTTCAGCCAATGGACTGGAAAAAAGAATACAAGAAAAAATAGAGGGTAAATCAACCACTGAAAAGTGTTTTTGAAGTGAAAAATTAAAACTAATAGTAATTCAGTTTGGAGGTTTGTCATGATTTATTCAGGTTGATATTCATCACTGACCAACATCAGTCAAATAAGAAGAAGGGTGGATCCAGGAGTCGGCCCGACCACCATCCGGACCTACAACTTTCTATTAAGGCGCTGAGTCTGAACTCAAGAGTCTTCATGTCTCTTCTTCTCTTAATCCACGATATAGCACAACCATCTTCCAATGTCCACAGACCCGAGTTGATTGAACAAACAAGTCATGGCTTCCCATTAGAACCCAGTGGTTGAATGATTGTATGCTCATTACGAGATCTAATGATGATGCGTTACATCCTTGGTAGGGCCAGGAGTGAACTGTAATACCATAATCTCAACTCCTAAAAACTGACAATAATCATTCCTGAATACGATTTTGATCCAGGCGAGATTTGAAAGATATTTTGCTCAACAATATTAGAGGGACATTATCCGCCTATTAATTCCTCGATTCATTGCAATCATACTGTCAGGGTAACCTTCATGGTTATTTTCTTCACAACTATTCATGTTGAATGAATATCTCATTCTCTTTAACCTAACGGTTATGTAAAGGTTAAATGATTGTGATTATTTGTATTCAATTTAGTAGAAAGCGTGATTCGCCAGTGACCTGTGTCACTTATATTTCTTCCTTTGTTCATCAAATACATTTTGAACGATGTTTAAAGTGAGTTGGTCTCTCTCAGTTGGAGGCTTACCTAACTCAAGAGAACAATTCACTTTAAACATACATACCTGGAGCAGAAATATTCGTAAAAAATTTAGAGCATGAAAGTTCTTCAAAATGCAAACGAATGTTTAAAGACTTCACATTTTATTGACAAGTAATTCCCCACTATACGCGTAATTTATTTAGATGAGCATTATTTGTGAAGCTGAGATTAGATTGACTGGTTTCGTGATCAGCACACGACCACCAAATGCTGACGAACTGACAGCATTTCACAGTATCTAGCCTTGTCTACTGCGCAATTTTCAAGCACCAGTTTTTTAACCTTAATTACTCCATATATAATTTGATTATCTGATTTATAGCACGCAACGATACATTATTATGTACTTGTTGACGTTTCGAGAATAAACTATTGATCAATCGTAGTATCAAACAAACGTTTAACGTTACACCTAAGATATGACGGAGATATGTGTATGACACACTGACTGTGTTGAAATCGACACATGTCGACACTTTCCTGACATATATAAAATCAGTAGTAGGCACAATCCAGTTCACTTATGAGGAGGTATAAAATGAACAATGAGAATTAAAGATGTTGAATTGCAGGATAAAAAGAAGGATAGATGGTAACTGGGATACTACCGTCTACAGAAAATCCACACATTCCAACACGTATCTAAACTTCAAGTCATCTCATACAATGTCAGTCATGAAGGCAGCATTAGTCAAACGTCTAAATGATACAGCTAGAAAACTGACTAATCAGTGAAAGGACCTACACGAGGAAGTGAAGCACATAAGAGAAGTGCTAACACTTAATATTTATCCTCCACAGTTTATCAAGAAATTCTTCGGAACACATAGGAAACGAATTAATAACAGTAAGATGAGTAGAAAGGAGTTCACAGTCTCCATTGTGTTACCACATAAGGAAGGCACATCAGAAACTGTATGCATGATTGTCAACAAGAGTGGAATTAGGGTGACATTGAAATGTGCACACTCACTCAGAGATAAGCTTTGTCGACTGGCTTGAGCATCCACGATAGAATAAACTAAGCAGAATAATGTAATCTATCACATTCCAGATAATGACTGTGAGGTCGTGTACATAGGTGAAACTAGGTTGTCGGGATCAGTTATAATAGCTGAACATAGGAATTTAGTTAAATATAGAATGAAGTACTTGAATAAGATCAATAATCTAGAAGAAGCTCGGTTATCGCAATGTATTCATTAACCCATAACCACATGATAGGGTGGGATGAGACCATTGTACTTAAGACCAATATAATAAGGTGGAGACAGAGAGATTGATTACTGAATGCTCATTCATGAAATCAACACCCAACACATATAAGAGGAATGATACAACACTTGTATGAGAGATATGGAAATAAATTTTACTACCAATAGAAAGAAAGAATGTGTGGTGACAGGACTGTTTAAAATCATATTTCGAAAGTAGAGTGTGATTACTTTGATGTGATTATGAGGAATGATAATTTATGCTGGAAACGTCATCATGTAAATAATACTGTATGACACTGTGTGTCTTAAATCAAATAAACAAATCCGATGTTTGATAATATTCTACGGCAGTGCTAAAGTTTTACACTTGAACTAATGTCTTGATTTTTCTTTTTTTCGCTTGAAATAAGGAAGGGAGAGAACCAAAAATAAAAAAAGGATTCACGGTGGCGTGAATTATTTTTCCTTTAGGAAAATTTAAGATTGTAGATTAGACAAGGAAGGCTGAAAAATTCTTCGTTCTTCTTTGAGATGAACAACATGATAGTTACATAACATATTGAGCATTGAACAAAAATAATAACAAGAGGTATGTGCACTTGATTTTTGTCAGCAAACAGTTCACATCAGCTTTCCCATTAAAACGAGGCTTGACAAAACTGGGAAATTAGGTGTAGTTTGTAGAAAGTTCCTTTTTTAAAATTTGTTATATAATTAGACCTGGTGTTGCGTTTTGAATCCTCACTACCCAGATGCATAGGGTCGGTTGTACAATTTACTGATGTTTCTTAATAGCCTACTGACAAAAGCTACAAAGAGACTAGGAACATTTTAAGTTGCTCATAACACTAACTGAAAGGATTTTCAACGTTTTACTCAGGTCGTCTTTGCATATCTTCCAGTAGTCGGCCATTTTTCAACTCGAGACTAAGTGTTAATATGTCTAATCTCAGCTCCTAATCTTGCCTGCATATAACAATTTTAGTGGTCCTATGAATGAGCCACTTGAAGTAAACGACAAGGCAGGTGTTTTTGCGGATATGAGGATATTTGTCAGCCTGGTTTGGAAAAGCTGAAGTGATCGTGATGAAAATTGCTGTCTTGGCACACTTATTGAACACAGGCTGTCATACATATCCTGACAGAGCTTCTAATACCACACGCTGTGTTTCCAAAAACAGTACCAAGTGTAGCTCACTAGCCTCTACTAAAAATAACAAGGGTTGTCGCGATAAAAGTAAAGGAACCTGAACTTTTCATTCACAGAAACCACTCTTAGGCATTTTTCCACCCTGATAGATACTCAAGTTTTCCCAATTTCGGTCTTTTCTTTGACCATGAGATTCTCTATCTGTATACATGTCTTGTTAATAGGGAGAAATTTATCAAGAAAAATCGATTTCCTTGAAAATTCGTTTTTCACATTTCATTTTAAAGGTGTATTGACTTCTAAAACGAGATACCGTTACGCTTATTTTTTCTTTCAGTAAAGAAAATTAATCGGCATTGGCAAGTTTATTCATTTAGTTTATTTATTTAGTCGGCTTCAAGAAAAAAAGGTGACCTAGAAAAAGGTGGACTTGTTTAACTTGGGTGTAGGCGCCAAAATTAACATTTATTTTGTAGCATAACATAGGTGATATTCAAAAGAAAATGCTTCTTTCTGATTATTGTCTCCTTTTGGTCAAATATAAAATCAATATTATTGTAATGTGCTCGCTTTTGTTATAGAGAAACTCAAAACGGATATTCTACTTGCAGTTAAGTAACCACTGTGGACTGGATGCTAAATAAACTGAAGACTCTAATGACCAACGCATCATTATGCGTACTATGAATTCCAGATATAGTACAGCATGAAATTGAAGTCGTTTGTTTCACGAAGCAGCTGCTGAAATTCTAAGATTGATTCATTTATAACAATAGTAGACGCATAAATGGATTTGTGTCCAGACTACTACTGTGATAAGTGTAAATTTGGGTCGTGCAGTTTTGAGAATCATCATTTTCATATTTTAGTACATCAGTTCATGCAAGTCAGGTTACCTGAATTAAATCAGTTCCGTGATCTGAATTACTCTGGATACACCACTGATGAGCATGGCCCCCAAAAAAGAAAGCCGCTGTCTGGTGATTAGGTCACTCTGAACTGGCTGGTGAAAACTATAAGTCAGCCTGAAAGATTTTCTAACTACCATCCATTACTACATCTCACCATTAAAACAGGTTATATTTGCTGTTTAGGAGTGCTTGACAAAATGTTTCAGGATTGCGAACTGTCCACCTATATTTAACCACCTTTATTCATCCAAATAAGAGATAACTTTCTGTGGGTTATACAGACTACATTGCTTTCCTCCTTTGAGGTCCAGTTTGTAGCAAAGAATAAAAATAACCATCATATCTTCGAATGCACTTTTCAATGGTTTTTAGGTAAAGTTGCTGAAAATGTAGTTTTTATTGGGTGACTAAATGGTATTTTATTGCAAGGAGGATCAAAAAAATTCTCTAAGGCTTCCAAAACGTTGAAATTCCACTTCATCCAGTTACACATTTAACACGCGTTTGTGAAAGTTGCTGGCGACAATCAGAGTTAAATACAATGCCTATGCGTAACAAATACTCATTCACTTCTGATGCTGTTATATTCTCTAAGCTGGATTAATTAATCGTGGGGCTTTTGTTGTCATTCTAGACAACATTATCAGCACAGACTTCAGAAAGAAGTGTATGATAAGGTTTTCTCCACAATTTATTTGGTGGCTATTCCTGATGGCCTTGTGGGTGATTGGTTGTTCCTGCCAAAGTTTTGTCATTGTCTCTCTCCACCTGTATTTTGATTAGTTGCCCTGACAACCTGAAATCTGACTTTCTTCTTGTTTCTTATTTGTTGGTAGACTAGGTCAATGTCAATATCGCTGCTGAGTGCTAACTGACCGGGAATATCAAGCTTGTAAACATTTTCTG